CTCCCGGCATCTAACCACCCTAGTAGAGAAAGCTACCTCATTCTGCCCCAGGCTCAAGACCTTCTGCCTAGCAACCAGGCTCTGGCCCCCAGGGTTTCCTGAGCAGCAGGCATCATCCTCCTGCCGGCGTTTCTGCCCCCTACCCAGCCATTATCCCTGATGTTTATCAGGGACATGGGGCGAGAGCCTGGGTGCTCTTGTCAACCCCCTTATGGGTGGGGCAGTGCCAGCCCAGACTCCCCAACTCAGCTTGGGCCAGGGCCGTGTTGAAACAAGAGGTTAACTATCTGCAGCCCAAGAGTGGCGGTAAGACTACAGCAGGGGGCCAAGTGCACCTGGAGGCCAGAGGCAGGAAGGGGGACCAGTACATGAAAGGGCCACAGGCTGAGAGGGGCTGAAGAGGCAGGGAGAGGGGGGAGCCGTCTAAGGTCCAAAAGAAGGTGGGGCAGTGCAGAGGCAGGAAAGAGGAGGCCAGGAACTCACGCACCTGGCAACTGGGAGGCAATGGAGGAGACCCTCGAGCAGGCAAGGTGGACTGAGAAGCCAGAGAGTAAGCCCTGGGCACAAACCGAGTGGGACTAGTACCGGGGCCAAGCAGAGGTATATTCTTGCAAGGGGGCTGGCCTAGGTTGTCTCATCTCCCTACTGGGTGCCCAGCATGGAGCCCAGCACATCTGTGCCCTAAGTCAATTGCAGCAGAAGTCCAGCCTTGATCCTACCTGGGCATACTAGTGGATAATAGGTTGAGGGCTATGGGCAGGCCAGAGTTAGGGGGCCCTAGGGCCAGGCCCCCCATGCAGAGGGAAGCAGTGTCGAAGAAGGCAGACGTCTCAGTGATTGTCAGAGGGACAGGGCAGGCTCTGAGGGAAGCCCAGCCCACACCCAAGGCTCTAGTCTCAGGATCACGTGTATGCTTGGCCAGAAATGCCCCAGAACTTGGAATTCTCCTTACTACCCCTTCCCCTCTGGCCTCAGGATGTCTTGGAACCCGTATAACTGCAGCAGCAGCGATTTGGCAAATGTGTGTGTTGTAGAGACCCTGGCATTTTCAAGGTTCTGTGATGGGCACAAAGAGGTTCAGTGCACAAAGATGAAAGCACAGGCCATCCCTGCCCTCAAGGAGCTTATACTCACCTAGTGCCTTTGTTCTTTTACCAGCAAACATTCACTGGGGCCTCTTACATGTCAGGCCCTGTGCTGGGCACTGTGGGGTGACTGTTGGAGTCGGCATATTAACAAATGAGTATGAGGTGCTCTTAGTCCCACCCTGGGGAAGTGGGGGGAAGCTTCACGGAGGAAGTGATGCTGGAGCTCACAAGTCAGAGAATAAGTGGGCCTTCACTGAGCCACACACATACGACGACATTTCACTTTGGCTAAACCACCACTTATTCCAGGCTGGATACAAAAGTGAATAAGTTGCAAGTCTGTTCTTTATGAAGCCACAATGAATTGGGGGAGAAAATAGGATGTGCTCAAGGCAAAAACAGAGAGGTTCGTGTAAGAATAGCTATGGTGTGGTCTGGATGACCAATCAACTCTAAGGAGGCAGGGGGGCGTGCTCACAGAGGGCTTCCTGGGATAGGTGGTGTCTGAGTGAGGTTCACAGGACACATAGGAGGAGGACAGAGAGTTGAGTAGAGGCGGAAGATCATGTCAGGGGGAACGGCATGGAGGTATGAGGCAGTCCGGTTGGATGAGGTGGGGATTACAAAGCAAATCAGGTTTAAGGGAGGCCAGCTGGGGACTGGCACACCCACGCAGCCCACTGTGAGCCCAAGATTGGTGAGCCAGCCAGAGATCAGGAGCTTTAGTAGCTTGAAGAGGAGTTGGCAAGTCAGGGAAGGCTTCTGGGAGAAAGCAGGTCTCAAAGGAAGGCTATGGGGGGCCAGGAAAGAAAGACTGTTCAGAGGGCAGGAGAGTCATACAGCTGGAGCAAAGGCCTGGAGGCTGATGTGGATGCACAGATGAACTTGAGCGCTCTGGAGTCAGAAAAGGCAGGAGCTGCAGAGCAGCCAGGCTAGCAAAGAGGCTGGCGGGGAGGGGGGTGGAGGTGGAGATCTTGGGCCTGAGAAAGTGTCACCATTTCAGCCTAGGGGCCCAAAAGACCCTGCTCCCCACTCAAAGCGCATTCTAGGAATGAGGGCAGGTGAAGCTCCAGCTCCCATGAAAGCTCCCTCAACACCCTTTAACTTCAGGCCTTCCCCTTCCTCTGAGTTTTTGTGTCATTTGCCCGTTCATCACACATTCCTGTTTGCTTCCCCCAGTTCGGGAGTGTGGATCCTGCCATTCCACGTCTACCGCAGCAACTTCTGGGCAAGCTTGCCTCAGGAAACAGGGACACCACCCACAGGCAGCCACGACTGGGGACAAGTTGCTTCACTTCTCCAAGTCTCTGTTTTTTCATCTGTGAAATGGGTCTAACCCCTCCCTTCAGGCTCGTCAGGAGGATTCAAGGAGATCATCCCTATAAAATGCCCAGCACAAGGACAGGCACACAACTACACACACAACTACACACACAACTGCATGTTTGCTACACACTTATCTCCTTCTTGCCTCATTTACTTTAGTCCTGCACAGTGGTTAAGTGCACTGACTCTGGAGCCAGACTGCCTGGTTCAAAGCCTAATTCTGCCACTTATTAGCTGTGTAACCTCAGGCAAATCACTTGCCCTCTCAGTGCCTTGTTTTCCTATTTGTAAAATGGATGTCATAATAATAGTACCTACCTCAGGAGATTGTCATGAAGATCAAGTGAATGTGTTAGGGGCTTAGAGCAGCACCTGCTGGGGAGTCACATTCTAGGTGCTAGCCATTCCTAGACTGCATTCTGAGTATTTGGAAACACGCCTGGTACCTGATAGATGCTCAACAGACTTTCTGAATGAAGAAATGAAGAAATGAGGCAACACCATGATGCAAGGGAATGCCTACATAGGAAGTCATTGAACACCAATACGTGAGGAGCTAAACCACCCCGACCGATTAAGTGCCTTCCCCAAATAAAACCCGGATAATCCCCACACCAAGAGTTAATCCACACTCCTCAGGTCACTCCGGGTTACCACACCATTTCCCTTCTTCCCACCCGCCTCTTTGCTTAATCAAAAGTGGGAAGGAAGAACAGGCATGGGGTGGGCAAGGGGAGCAGCCCTGGGACACTGCATTGAGACCAGCACCCAGGAGCAGGAGCAGGAGAGGGCAAAGCCAGCACTGACTGCCCCAGGGATTAGAGGAGGGGATGGAGTAGAGCGAGCTCTGGCAAAAAGCCTGGGTCTCAGGACAGGGGAGACTCCGTGAAGGGGGCAGACAGGACCAATGACCACAAACAACAGGAAGGAACAGCAGAAAGAGCCATTGGAGGCCAGGCCAGCATTCTGCATCGTCTCTCCAGCCAGCTAGCCAGCCAGCCAGCCAGCGGCCAGGCCCCTGTAGGGCAGGGCTCTGGCCATCCTCCCAACCCCGCCCTCCTTGACCTGGAAGCTAGGGGCAGCCCAGACCTTGGCAACTGCTGCCCTCTCACGGCCACTCCAAAGAGGTGCAATGCTCTCTGCATTATCCTGGGTGTTTACAGGAACTCAATGTCCCCAGAGCTGCCTAGAGACCACCTCAGGCCCATGGAGGAAGTTGGCCTCCCCAGGCCTTGTCTGTTTACAGCTCCAGCTAGTCCCCATGGGATTATTGTGCTGCCCAAGTTCCCTCCACACCTCTGTTCCCACTGGCTTCTACTTCCCATCAAGATCTAACCCCATCTCCTGATTGCAGTCTTCTTAGACTCTGACCCCTCTTAGGGCTGTTCACCTACTCCCTCTGTCCCCCATCTATGTTCTCAGAGGTCTCCAAGAATTTCCTGTGACAGTACTTGACCCATTACAACTATATGTCAATGGCTACCTCCCCCATTAGACTGGGCCCCTCTGGCAGTCTGTCTGTCCCTTGAGCCCCCATCCTAGGCCTGACTGGCCTGTAGAAGGCTGTTTAATAATATGTGCTATGAGGACCATGAGTACAAACCAGGACAAACAGACCACTTTTATGTATTTATTTACCAAAATTTGCATAAACCTGACCTCATTCACCAACATAAAACGTACAACCAGGACACACACACACACACACACACACACACACACACACACACACACACGCCTTGGAGGAAACTGTCAAGTACTTTGAAGGACAGGAAGGAATGAACACAGCTGGGTGGACTTTTGGTTTCATTTGCAGAGGTTTGAGAAGGGCGCTGGTCCCACACACTGGGAAGGTAGAAGGATGAGAAAAACAATAAATAGAATCCTGGGCCCAGCCTGCTTTGGTACATTACAGGTATAGTCCTGTGCATGGCCTGGGCAGCACCCAGCCCTTAGCCAGCAGCAGGAGCCGAGGGGGCAGAGCCTGAGCAGCTGGTGCAGGTAGGTCAGACATGCAGCCAGAGGTCCCCTCCAAACAGTACCCGGTGCTCCACAAGGCAAGAGGTAAGACTGAGCCAGGCTCTGAAGACCCTAGCTGTTCATGTCTGAGGAAATGGTCTTTTTCCTTGTCCGAACCTTCAGTGAGCGCGAGGTGCCCTGCGGGGAGAGGGCAGGCACAACCTGAGAGGTGTAGGCTAAGTACCTGGACAGCCCACCTCCCTTGCGCCTTCCTTGCCACTGACCTCCCGCATGGGTGGCTTCCTCTTGACCACACGCAGGCTCTGGCTGCGGCTCAGAGGCTTCTCTCGGGGCCGGGCAGGTGGCTGGGAGACTGCCTCTGTATCTGACCAACACTCATCCTCAGTGTCGCTGTCCTGCAGGCCCCCTGCCCTATACCCTGTATAGAGGAGAGGGAGGCCAGGGAGGCAAAGCTGGGCATTTCCATAGTCTGAAGGCCCAGGGCCAAGACAGACCTTCTTCTAACCCTTAGGGAAGCCACAGTTTGCATGGAAGAGGCATTCCTTCCGGAACAGCTCTGGATCTCTCTGTCCACTTACCGATGGGCGGCCTGCGGCGAGGTACCTGGTCCTCCAGGTAGAGGGGATCCTGGTAGGCAGGGGCAGAGGCATCAGGGATGGAGCGCAGGTCCTGCATGGAGAAGCTCCGCAGCCTTCCGGCCAGTGCACCCTGACTCTGCAAGTGATGGGGAACCACTGTATCACCTGGAGGAATGGGGCAGGGGATCCTAGTAGGAAGGGGTCTGAGTCAGGGCAGCTACTCAGGAAAATCAAGGGCTGACTGGTGGGTAATCACTGGGGCATAGGCCTCAGAACTAAAAGCAACCCAGTGACCTTCTAGCCCTGTGCCTTTGTGGCACCAACAGGAAACAGGCCCAGAGAGCAGGAGCAATCACTCAGTCATTGTCCCAGCCAAGGAAGTCAACTTCCCGCTCCACGCTCCTGCCAACACCCCACTGTCACCTCTCATCCTGTTCCCTGGCATGGTCAGCTGCTCTCTCTCAGCTCCCTGATAGAGAGCTGGACTTGCCCAAAAGGCACGAGGCTGGGAGGACTGCTGAAGGGCTGGGGCCCAAGGTACCTTGGTGGCAGCCTGTACAGCAGCCGAAGCAGCAATGTTGAGGCCCCGTTTCCCAAAGCTGAGCATCGTCTCATAGCTGCGCTCCTTGGCCTGCACGATGCAGGTGTCAATCTCCTGTAGGGGTCGGGAAGGGGAGAGAGCTCAGGTGGACACCTGAAGACTGAAGTCACTCCTCCTCTGCAGCCCCAGAGAAGCCAGTGCGTGCCATGCCTCCCTGCCCACCCCTGCCTACAGTGCACTAGCAACCACACCAAGAGCAGACGTTCCCATGCTTCAGTGAATGACCACGCTCAGCCTCCTCCCACCATCCCCAACACAACTTCCAGCTGGTGTTTCACACCTTCAAATGCTCATTCACCTGTGCCCCCATTTGATTATCACAGAAGAGGAAGAAGGCTAGGTTCTATCAAGGTCCCACACCTGAAGGGCAGCAGGAGTCAGATTAGAACCCAGGTTTCACCCAGCGTCCTGAACCCCGAGTCCAAGGCTCTTTCCTTCACACCCACCCCTATGTTTCCCTCCCTGGCTCCCCCCGAGGTACCTTCTCATGACGGGATAAGGATGGGTGGACAAACTTTCGGTAAAGCAGGCTGGCCCCTTTGGTGTAAGGCGAGAGCAGCCATAGCACAAAGGCCATCTTGATCTCATAGTAGAAAGGGAACCTGTCAGAGCACAGCGGGAGTAAGGTCAGCCAGGGAGCTGGGCCAAGAGTGGGCCATCATCTCCCCACAGCCCACAGACCCCCTGCATGCATACCAGGAAATAAAGATGTCTGTGAAGGTTTCCACTGCCATGAACAGTGCAAAGACTATCCAGTACATCATCCACCGCACCTGGGGGTGGGGGTGGGGGTGTCAGAGGCCAACAGCTGAGCCTGCAGAGCCAACTCCCCTGTCCCAGGCTGACCCAGAGATTCCAGAGAGCCTGTCCTACTGCATTCTCCTGGCACCTGGCTGGCCCTAGAGAGGTGTCTCTGAGAAACTGCCACTCATTCCTGTACCCACCCCCAAGAAGCTTCACCCACAAGATTCTGCACAGGCACCCCCATAGCCTGCCCTCCAACCACACCCACTCTACACGCACCTGCTTATGCTCCTGGAGGAAGGGGAGGCCAGGTCAGACCGTCCCCACCTTGCCAAGGCCTACCATACCCCCCAAGGTTGACTGTCATCCCATCCAACCTGAACCAAGCTCTCCTGCCCACAGCCACACTCACATATTCACGTATGTTTTTGGTCTTCACAGCCTTGTAGGAAGCATAAGCTGGATACAGCATCCCAAACACCAGCCTAGAAAACAGAGGGGGAGTATGAGGGGCATCATGCCGTCCCCCCCCCCCCCCCCCCACACACACCAGGTGGCCACTTCCCTGAAAGATGTGAAGTAGCAAGGGCCTACCCTGTTCTTCTTGCTTGGCTTGCACAACCTGTGCCTGAGTCAGTGCCCTGGAGGCCACCTCCCCACCCTGCTGTTTACAAACAGTCCAAGCCTGCCCAAGCCTGCACCAGTGGCCTATGGGTGCATTATTGAGCGGGAGCACACACGGCAGGTAGGTGGGAAGCAGGCTTCTGAGCTGGTGAGAGGGCCAGGCTGTCCCCTCCCATGGACACGCAATCAGGGCCACCAGACCTGGCACTGCCAGGCTGCAGACAGGGATCTTGGAGCCAGGTGCTGGAGTACTGAAAGGTAGGACAGAGTGGGGAGGCTGAGGCCAGGGTGGTGAGTCATGTGACTGCTCAGACAGGAAGCAGGCACCTGAAATCTCCGCCCACAACGTGCCACAACACCTTGTTTGCCAAGGGGCTGCAGGCTGGTGTGAGGTCCTCTGTCCCACACTCCTGTCTGCAGTGTATGTGACTGCGGGGGGCGGGGGAGAGGGCGGTCGCCATGAGCCAAGAAGGCTTTGGGGGTAGAGTACAAGCACGGGTGCCCGATGCCACGCGGTAGGCCCGAAGGTCCGTTAACCCTTGCGGGCACTAAAAGCCCCTTTCCCACCAGATGTTCCCATCTTCCACCTCAAGGGCGGCCTGGCACCTGGAGGTAGAGGGGGTATGAAAGCGGCCATACTCACACTACCAGGCGACAGATCATCCAGGACACCATCCCGCAGCCTCAGGACGAAGGGAGAACCCCTACAAGATGCCTAGAGGGACGCTCACGCAGGGCTGGGATGGGGTAATCAGCGGAAGGGCGAGAACCAGAGGGGCGCTCCGGCTGCCCCTTGGCAGAGGCGGAGCCGGCCGCCCCCTAAATCTGCAGTGCGGGGAGCCTGAAGAATGGGGAGACCCGTGGGCTGAGGCGAGGAGGCCGGGGCTCGGAGAAACCGACTAGGGAGCCGGTAAGGGCGGGCGCGCTCTGCCGCCTCGCCGCGCTGCCGGGCAGTTACGGCTCCCACCCGCACTTCCTGCTGCGGAGAACCAGCTGTTCGACTCTCCCCGCGGCGCTGCTGCGTCCCAGACAGCGGGTTGCGGTCAAGGCCTTCGTTCGTTCGGGTCCCCGAGGTCTCAGAGCGCTGGGCCACCGGCTCCGGCCTCGGGGCGGAGTTTGCAACTCACTTGAAAGTTGCACGGAACTGGGTTCTGCCCAACCCCAGGTCTCCGGCGCTCGGCGCAGGCGCAGTGCGGCCCCGGAGAGGGCGGGACGAGGTCAGGGAGGCCAGGGGCCTGCCCCTTAAAGGGGCGATGCACCTCCTACTTGTGGATGGGGTCCATAGGTTGAGTAGCAGCCCTGATTGCAAAGATTAGAGGGTGGGAAACAGCGACAAAAAGGTGGGGAGGAGGAAAAGAAGGAAATTTGGATTCCAGAGTTTTCTCAGAAAACCGGCTTCCTCCTTTTGCCTTGTCTTTCCTTTCTGTAAAATGAGAAAGGGCATGGGATGGATGCAGGACCCCGCTTCCAGGTTCACGCACACTTGGAAGGAGGCTAGGCCTGGACAAATCCAGGTCTTGCACCACTGGGCCAGGAGATGCGTGAGTGCCTCAAAGACGCTGAGTTGACCTAGAGCGAAAGCGGGAGGAAGTAGGGAGAGGGGATCTGAGGGGCTCAACATCCCCATGAGATTCACCCTGAAGAGTGGGCTTCAGGAGTTGACGTCTCTCAGAGTTACCTCTCCAGAGCCCACATATCTGGGTGGGCTGACCATGATGATTTGAGAGATTCTCCGCAGAGCCCTGAGCACCCACACTCCCCATGCCTTCTTCACCAGAAATTTGAAATTCCACCTATTCCTGGGAGTCAAGAACACAAATATCCCTAAGAGCTTAATCATATCAACAATTGCCACTTTGTAGCAAGTTTTTGTATGCAGGGTCTTGACCTTTACAAAGATCCCTTTTTTACCATTTAGGAAATACATTCCCTCTGGGATGAAAAGTAACTTCACCTGGTGGTATTTATTGCTGGATGATAATGCTTGGCTTATCAAGTCTTCTGAGCTCCAGCCTGGAAGGGGACAGGGAACTCAGAAGCTCCTCTGGGGGGAGGTGCATATGGGGAAGAAGGTGGGAGTTCAAAAGAGAAGGCAAAAGTTGTTGCCTCTAGAACTTTGTATATAGGATTGCACTCCTTGTTCCTCTTTTGCGTAGCACTCCATTCCTCCCTCGGGCAATGGGGACCTTGCCTCCCCCACCTAGACCCTGTGCCACCTCCCCTCTGCTTCATAGGGCTGGTGTGAAGGAGACAGCAGAGTTCCCCAGAGCCATGGAGGTGGGCAACTTTGGCAGTTATTACTTTTTATTAGAGCTATAGTTAACACCCACCACCTATGGAAAGGATGGAACAGGTAATGACTGGGACCAGGGAAAGGAGGCTTCCTGGGAATAAATAAACTCGTGGTAATTATATTCTTTTAATTACTATCATCAATTTTATTGGTGTTGCTGGGTGTGAGAGCTAGCAGTGAAACTGACCCACAGGAGAAACTCCCCTGAGGCCTGCTCTTCCCATCTAACCACCCCCTCACCCTGGGCCTTGCTCCCACCCTATGTTGGAAGAACAAGAGACACCACAGGCTAGGATCCCACCATCTATCTCTAGGCACAGACATTGTGATCGAGGTGAAAGTTGAGGTTCATCAAGGAGACACATCCTTGTGTCCTTGGAGCAGAAGGATGTGACTGACTTAATAGGGGGCCAGCTCAGAAGGAACAAGGAGGTTGCGGAAGGGGGAGGGGACATCCATTCCTCTGGAGGAAAGGGTACTAGGCTGACTGTGTGCATGTGTGCCTTGGGTCCTTTGGTACCTGCTACAGAACCACCTCCTTCCCAGCTGCCTTCCAGAGTCACCTGCCCTGACCTCAGCATCTACCCCTACTTGCTGGCAAAGACCTCCCCTGTACCTATTTGAAGGCTACCCAGCCGGGAAGGTCTCTCACATGGAGACTCCTGGTCCTGATGACTGTGCTTAGGAAATCTAAGGGACATCAGAGGTTTGCTCCTGAGAGCAGGACTCAGCATGGAGGGGCGTGTGGCTGGCAGCTGAGGGGTATCATTCTTCTTGGCTTTGGCAGAGTGAGTGGACTCTGCCTCTCACGGCCTTTGGTCATGAGATGTTGACACAGTCACCCAGCTACACTGGGTTGCTGAGCAACTCTCTGGACACACAGTTGAACCCCCAGGGCAGGTGACCAGGCAGGCATATAGCAGAAAGCTGGGCATTTGGGGAGAGAAGTGTCTCCCACCCCTAGAAGGAGTCCTGGGGGGAAGTGACAGAATGATGTTTATCTTCCTACTGGGCAACAGAGTGCCAACGTGTCTGAGAGACTCAACCCACTTTCCCTGGCAACTTCTCCCTGGCACAATATGAGGGTCCATTGCCCATTTGAAAAAGCAGAACAGGAATTCCCAGGACAGTATGGCTGTGGGGCCTGAGGGGCACCTGCTAAGCCAAGAACACATGAATGTGGTTTGAAGAGGTGGAAACCCAGACATGTCACCTATGAGACTCCACTTTGAGGACTGGTCAGGGGCAGGCTTGGCTGGGCATCTGAGGCTACAGGTGAGACATAAGGCACAGGGGCTCTGAGACTGATGGCTAAGGAACCCTCAGCCACAGACGGCAGTTCTCCCCAAAGATCAACCTTCTCTCCCACCAAACACTCTTCTCTGAGCCACCTCTGTATCTCATATGGTCCTAAAGACCAATACAAATCATAATTCTGTGACAGACACACTATTCCAAGGGTCTTTCATATATTAATGTATTGTATATTTAATGCATTTACATTTCACACTAACCCTGTCAGGTATGTATCTCGATTATCCACCTTTCATAGATGAGAAAACTGAGATATAAATAGGCTAAGTAACAGGGTTGAGGCCACCACTGCTAGTAAGTGGCAGAATCAAGAACTGACAGTGTACATTTTATTATCTACAGAGGGAGAAACCAAAGGCCAGGGAAATCAGTCAACTTGCTTGAAATCTCACACATAGGGCAGGGCTGGCAGCAATGGGGGAAGGGGAGAGGAGAGGAGAGGGACTGCTGAGCTTGTCTTTGGCTATGTTGGTTGGAGTTGACCTCACAGAGGGACAGACTCCAATCTCAGTGGGCCCCGAGACTGTGATCTCCAGGAAGAAACAGCTGGGTCATGAGTCAGCCACAGGTGGTAGAGACTAGTCACACTTTCTCTGCACCTGACTATCATCACCATGAACTCCTGACTCCAGGACCAGCTGACCTTGGGGTGCCCACTCGCTCCTCCAAGGAAAGAGAACATGGAAGAAGGGAGTCTGAACACTAATGCTGCCCCCACCCCCCCCCCTCCCCACGCCTCCGTGAACAGCAGGGACAGAGAGCACAGCCCTGGCTCTGTTCTCAGTGAAACAGCTACCACCAAAGCCACTGGACACCTGAGAGCCAGCAATGGGGTAGGAAATTTTTATTTGCAGCAGTGAGTCGTAACACTGCTCCCAAGTGCCCCTGGGCATCTTGCCACCAGTACGCCCTCACACAGCCTGGGCACAGGGACGTTTCCCCACCCTGTGCCTTCTCCACTGGCCTCCAGCTCAGAACTACCTATTCCCAGCATACAGCAGAGGGCAGCAGAAGCTTGACTCCCAGGTGCTACTCCCACAGGACCCTCACCCCCTCCACCACTCAGCTTGCTTTAGAAGGCAATGCACCTGGGGCCTGTCTCTGTGGACTAGAGAGGTCCCAAGATCCCCCAAGATGCTCTCTAGCCCTGCTCTACTCTTGGCACCCACCCAGTTGGCTCATGTTTGCAGAGTCCCTGGCTCGGCCAGCTCTTGGACCCACCTAAAGGAGCCTACACAGCTCAAGGTCCAATCCCAAAGGTGGGGCTGAACGACAGGGTGGTCTGAGGCTTCGGCAGCTATAGTAAAGAAAAGCTGGAAGTCTTTTATCTGGGTGGTCTCCTGTCCACAGGTGAGCGGCATTCAGGATCAGAGCAGGAAACTCCAGTAAGAACAGAGAGCCCTAAGAAGAAGTCAGGGTCTGCTGTTGTTATTGCTTTGGGCAGAGGGGCTTTGCCCCCAGAAGATCAAGCTGGTGTCCAGAGGCTGGCACCACCATTCCCATCCTTATCAGCTACAGGGTGGGCACACCAGGGATGAGCAGAGGAGGGTGGGTACTGTGTGTCTTCTCCAAGAAGAGAGGCAAGGTGATGAAAGAGAGCCTCTTTAGGCAGCACTGAACCTGCATGTGTGCACACAGAAATGGGAGTGTCAGCAGGTGTGTGTGCGTGTGTCCACGTGTGCATGCAGAAGTACAGCATGGGTGAGTGAGCCCAGCAGTGTGAAGGATGTGGCTGTGGGCTGCAGGGCAAAGCACAAGTAGGTAAACAGACACCTGGAGCACCAACAGGAGAAACTGCGGAGTAGGAAGAATAAGCTGAAAAACAAGAGAGGGGGTGGCCCTGCCCTTCCTTCCCGTACTCCTTCCCTGGGGCCGGAGCACAGGGAAAGCAGCAGACCAAGGGGGGGCCTTCAGGTAGGGTGTGGGGCCGACAAGTGTCCACATATGAGAGGGCACAGGGTTGCTGGGTTGCCTGGTGCGTATACAAGTCTTCATGCTGATTACAACTATGACAAGTGGCTCTCCTGGGCCAGTCCACAGTGTGGCCCATGTTCATGGGGGGTGCGGAGGGTGTATGTGAGGGCATGTACACAGGTTGGCTACATGTGTCTTCACATGGGCACACATGCTGCTCACACAGAGACTTCTGTTCAGCCTCGAGTGGCTGCCTGAGGAACACAGAGGCCTCGGCACCCCTCTAGGCACTGAGATCCACCACTATGTGTCGGTACACGAGCGTCTGTCCCTTGAAGCTAGGGGCCAGGAGCAGCTGAGCATCCCCAGCAGGCATGTAGCAGAAGGCCCGAGGGGCCTGCACAGCCAGCTCCTGGAACCGCACAAACTTTTGGCGCCCCTCATCCCATTGGTAGATCTGCGTGAAGGAGAAGTCGCTGCCCAGCGCCAGGTAGCGGCGGCCACCCACGAGGAAGGGCTGCATGGCCAGCGAGCCCCTGGAGGGCAGGGCCTGCACTTCAGAGAAGCGGGTGCCCTCCCAGCGCAGGATCTTGGAGTCACCGATGTAGCGGCTGAGACACAGGTAGCTGTCGCGCCCAGCACGGAAGTGTTTCACAGCCTGGGCATCAGGCACCTGGGTCACCTCACCCTGGGCCACAAACTGCTTCTGGGTGCGGCTCCACTGATAGATGACAGGTGCCTGGGAGCTACTAGACACAATCAACCGTGGCTTGCCCTCGCCATCTACAAACTCCAGGTCAGTGTCACGGTGCCAGGCATGCAGGGCCTGGTGGGAGTAGAAGCCATTCTGGTGCCAGCGGTAGAGGCTGGTGGCACCCGCCTTGGAGCTGTCGGCCACGGCAAAGTACCAGTCGCCGTCAATGCGGAAAGCTTCCAGGTCGTTGGGCTTGCGCACACGCTGTGGGTCGATATCCTGCAGCTTGGTGAAGCGTGTGGTGTTGGGGTCCCAGTGGTAAATGTAAGATCCACCGAACAGCTGGGCCACAACCACGTACAGCTGGCTGTCTACCACCATTGGCTTGCAGTGCACTGCAGAGGGGGCTGCCAGGGTGGAGGGAAGCAGGGTGAAGGCAGTGTCAGGCAGCCGCGGGCCCCCAGCCCACGCCATGCCCTCGGCAAAGGGGGTCAGTTCCCTCCAGCCCTGGGCCAGAACTAAGGCTCTCCCCTAGAGCATCCCTCCCCCTGATGCCCACCCACTTTTCACAGCTAATAATCTGTCTCAGCATCATGCTCCCTCCGCCCTTGCTCCCAGAGTTTAAATATAAGCTGACACTAAGCACAAAATAGGTATCCCTAGCTATTGACCCGTTGTTTATCCATAATGTCATTATTGAACTTTTATTGTGTGAAGTCACTGTGCTAAGTGTGAACACAGTTCCTCAATTAATCACTCCGAAGTGGAATCTATTATTTTGCCCAGAAGCAGGCTCAGAGTCTAAGTGACTTGCCCAAAGCTACCTGACTGGCCAGATGCCAGGCAGGGGAAGGAGGAAGAGTCTGTGCCTGTCCACAGCCTGGTGATAGAGCCAAGGTATACAAAATGACAGCTTGATGTTTGGATAGTTGTGTATGAAAATGCATTCTCCTAAGAACTCCTACTTTTGAAAGGGCCTTAATGTATGAGGACGTCCACACAAATGTATTTGTCAACAACCAGACAGATCTGACCCCTTCTCAGGCACCCAAAGCACATGGGGCCACACTCTTTACCTATCTTAGTGTCCCCAGTCATCTCCTCTCCACCTCTCCCCTCTCCTTCCCCCCCCTTCTCCTTTCCTCTCCTCTCTTCCTTCCCAGTGCTGTTTCACCCATCCTCCTCCTCCCCTCCTCTCTCCCCAAGAAAGCTCATGCTGAGCCCCAGGCTCTGGCAGTCACCCCCAAATCCCTTCCACAGCCTTGGTGCACCTGTGTAGATACTGATGATTCCCCCAGCACCCGAGCTGCAGCTCAGACCCTCCCTGCCCACACACCCAAAAGCACCTCAAACTCCAGCTGGCCATTACTGAGCAGATATGTGCCCCCAAACCTGGTCCTCTTCTCCCTCTGTGTTCTCAGCTTCAGTTTGTGGCTTCACCCAGTCCCCCCAACCAGAAACCTAGAGCCATCCCCAACACCTCCCTGTCTTTCAGTCACCCACAACTAATGAGTCCTGAGTCCTGTCAATCCTCCCTTCTGCTTTCTAATATAGTTTGTGTAGGATTGCTGTTATTTTTTTTTCCATAAATGTGTTATAGAATTTATCAGGGAGACCATCTGGCCCTGGAGTCTCCTTTTGGGGGAAGTTTTTGTTTTGTTTTGCTTTTGTTTTAATAAGGACTTTAAGTTCTTTTAGAGATACAGGGCAATTTAAATTTTCTGTTTCATCTTGTGTCAGTTCGCTCCTCCTTTCTAAATCTATCTCTCCACCCCACTACTATTGCCCCAGTCCAGGTTCCAGCAGATCCCCCTAATAGTGTGCCCACATGACTTGGCCCATGCCAAGCCACTCTTCATGCCGCATACAGAGAGAGTGTTCTAAAATACAGGTTGGATTGGTTCACACACTCTGCTCAAAACCTGTCCATGACCTGGTCCTCATGTCTTTTGGGTTTCATCTGCCTCTCTCCACTTTGAACCATATGGTGCGGTCAAATGAGCTGCTTATGGTTTACACATGTGCACATTCATACACTAAGCTGTTGCACTCCTTCTTGAATTTGCTCATGTCGTTCTCTCTGCCAGAATATACTTTCCACATTTTTTCTCTGAGCTAGGTATCCCCTCAGCCTTCTAGATTCAGCTCAAATTCAGTGGATCCCAAACTGAGCTCACTAGCCACTCCCATCTCCTCTTTGGTTTACAGGCCCCACCCAGTTACTTAAGCCAGGCTCTTAGGCATCACCTCTGACTTGTCCTTCACCCTCACCTTCAAGACTCAGCTCAGGTGTCTGCTCCACTAGGAAGCCTTCCTTGATTGTCCAGGGTACACCTCTCCTTTGCGGTCCCAGAGCATCATGTACATATCTCCCCCCTCACACCCATCTATTACATGAATGTTATCTGTGTACATGTTGGCCTCTCCCCCAAAGACTGGAAAGTTATTATGGGCAGAGACCATGTCTCATCTATCTCTCTACCTATAGGAACCCACTGGAGAGGAACAATTAAGACCATCCCCACCCCAACCCCTTAAAGTGGGGCCAGCACAGCCAGACTGGGGCAGGTACCTGGTATTCTATCATAATCTCGAAGCTGCCGTTCAACATAGTCCCACTTGAGGACGGTGCAAGCGCTGGCACCTGGCTGGGCCAGAGCCAAATAGAGGTCACTGGAGTAAAGGAAGGGCTCAGCTGATACTGCTGGGAAGGGCAGGGTCTGGTACAGCACAAAATCTGCAGGGTCAAGAAGTGAGGGGTGGGGTGAAGAAGGGTAAGAGCTTGTTGGGTGATTAGGTTGCTGGATTGCAAGGCCAATGTTGGGGGTGGTTCTGGCAGTGCCTGTGGGGCTGCCCTGGGGAGGTCTGCTGGGGGCATCTCCTACCTGTGGTGATGCAGTCGAACTCCCGCAGCGGCAAATCCTGCACCTTGTGCTCTTGGAAGCGGGGCGGGCTGGCGCAATAGATGGGAGCCACCGTGGTGTTGGTGTGCACCAGCCACTCCACCAGCCACTTCACTTTGCAGTCACAGTTGAGTGAGTTGCCCCGCAAGTCCCTGGATCATGAGGGTGACGGAGGGAATATAGAGAGGAACAGGATCCCAGCTGTTCTGCCCACCCAGGCTCTCTAGGTTTTTAGAAGTAGGTATAATCAAGGCCACTGCTGGTTGCTCACATGGCATCTTTGCACAGATTAGAGAAAGGTTCCCCTGGGGGTAGGTACACCCCTGTGGAGACATGCTTGGCCAGTGGAGTGGGAGCTGAGTTTTAGTCCCTACTTGCCTCCTAGGTCAGGGGCCTTTTGCAGTGTAGAACCTGCACAACTATGTTACATCTCAGTTCCTCCAGACCTTCCACAATCCTGGGTTGGTTTTCTTCTTGTGTAAGTACTGATTGATTGTGGCTATGCTCTAGGACTTCAGTGAAGGTTCAAATCAAACATAGATTTAAAAAGCACGTGTTTGGGGGCACCTGGATGGCTCAGTGGGTTAAGCACCTGACTCTTGGTTTCGGCTCAGGTCGTGGTCTCATGGTTCATGGGATTGAGACCCGCTGACATCATGGAGCCTGCTTAGGATTCTCTCTCTCCCTCGCTCTCTGCCCCTCCCCCCCTCAAAATAAATAAATAAACTTAAAAAAAAAACATATACACATAGTGTCTCGTGTGTATCAACACAGCCTTCCGGGAGGCATCTCCAAACCCAAGCCCTCCCAGCCTCTCAAGACCTTATGATCTTCCCATTTCTGGTTCCCACACCGCTCCCTCCAGGGATGCGCCCCTCTGTGGCATTGTTAAAAGAATTAGGGCTCAGCCTTACAAGTCACTCAGGATGTCCAAGGGCCGAAAGATGTCTCTAGGCAGTGTCTGCAGATTATTGTTGGCCAGCGATCTGCAAGAGAGACCCTGAGTCACCTGAAGATTGTGGCTAAGGCCATAGGCCACAGGAGATGAAGGGCTTTGGTCTGGTGTGCTTATGTACATGATGTACTCACAGGTGTGTCAAAGACTTGAGTCCTCTGAAGGTAAACTTGGATAGTGCCCAGATGTCATTGTTCTCAATGAAGCTGAGAAAATGAGAACTTGTCTTAGATGCCACTCAGCATCCCAGACCCCCAACCAGCTATTTCCCTCTGCTCCATCTAGATTTCTGCCCATGGTCCTAAGCCAGGCTTCCATTCTGATTCTGGAGACATTAAGCCTGTGGTGACAGGGCATCCAGGCAGGATGGTTTAGGCAGAGGGATGGATGAAATGACCCTCTGCTCGGGTCCTGCGGTCAGAGGATCCAAGGGCTCTCCACTCCCCCCATCTTCCCCTAGCCTTCCTCATTTACCCTCCCCTCTCAGCCCACCCAGGTCCCAGCTCCCTCCTCCCTTCTAGTTCCCATTTCCCAGTTCCTTGCCACACACAGGTACTGCAGGTGCGACAGTCCTGTGAAGGCATTGTCTCCAATCAGAGTAAACTTGTTGGAGTTGAGCAACCTGGAGAGACAGAGGGAGAATTAGAGCTTCCAAGCCTGTGCCCGCTGTGCCAGCCCCCAGCCTGTTGCCTCACCCTGGGGATTCCTCACAGACTGGCTGCCCTGCCACTCCACCTTGGGACCCCAGCCCCAGCCGGGAGCCCCAGAGAAGCCCAGCAGCAAGACTAGCCAGGAACCCGTTCTGGTCCCAGAATCTTCTTCAAGGGTAGAAACAGCCAGGGGCAGATCTCTCCGGTCAAGCTGGGTCCTTCCCCACTGCATCATTCCTGTCTCCATCACCACTCTCTGCCTCCTACCCTCACCCCAGCTCACTCTGTCCCTTTCAGACTGGTGGTGAGTTTGAGGATAACCCACAGTGAAAAGGAGTTGGGGTAACTCACAAGCACCCTTTCCTGCAACTGACTCTCCAAACAGAAACATTCCCTATTATAATTCCACACCCTCTCCTCCCTCCCTTTCAACCCCCAACTCTTCCTTCAAATCCTGGTGTCAGTGGTCTCTATGATGACCCTTCTCCCTGCAGTGTCCATCCTACGGCACCAGCCCAAGTTACTGACCCCAGTTCTTTTGGGTCTCCAGAGGAGGCAAGTCCATTCCTAATTGGGCCCTAAATATCCACTCTTGGCTTTTGCATGCAACCCCCAACTTCCTTCTCCCCACTGCGGCTCCCTTCACCCTTCCTGAGTCTATGCTGCTGCACCTTTTGTGGCTATCCCATCCAGTAAAAGTAAGGGACACCTGTATGTTAATCTCCAATGGCTATCTTCATTTGCTCTCCTCCCCCCAGTCCAGGGTCTGCCCCCTTCCACTGCCCCACCCCCTACCCGCCCTTCCTCAAGGCCCTGTCCATACAGGAACTGCAGCAGTGGCAGGTGGGAAAACGCTCCATCCTGGATCTCCGAGAAGGCAGCATTCACCAGCGTCCTGCAGGGGACACCTGAGTCAGTACTGTGGGGACTTTGCAGGGACTGGGGGGGTGGGGGTGGGAGGGG